GGCGTTTCACATGTTTGGTAACACTATGGTGTACTAGGTTAATTCTTTCAGTATTAATGATTACTTATTAAACATAAATTAATAAATTAAATTTATTCACGCTCATGGTGTGGAATTCTTTACATATTTTAATTAATTTAAGTTTTTGTAAATACTTAATAAGTTATGAAGTAGTATAATGGTTACTAGGTCTATAGAGTTAGGATATTGTTTTGTTTCTTTGTATAGATTACAGTATCACCAGATAGTCGCAATACGGCCTGGGTTTCATTTGATGGTCGTAATCGGCAAGAAATTACTCACGGTGATAGGTAATATTGTAATAGGAAAGGAAATGGAGTCTTACTATTTATRAATTTGGAATGAATTTTACATAGTTGTTATTTGTTGAGGCTTGTTTTTGTTTAAATGCTTTTGAGGTGCACATGGTTATCTAAACAGCAAATAAAATATTTGTTAAAAAATGTGAATAGCTAATTACTAGTTAGCATTTTAGTGTTTAAAATTTAAAAATAAATGCTATTTTGGTTTAAAAAATTTAGTAGTATGTCTATTGAAATATAAGTCAATTGGCTTCTGTGAATGATGATAAAACTAAATGTTATTACCTAACTTAAAAATAGTTTTTTTTTTAAATTCTATGTTAAAACTTTAAGTATTAGGTATTTTAATTCAGTATTGTTACTGATATAGCAGGTTTGGATACTTTTTGCAGATTATGTTGAGTCCGGATGCGAGGTCAACAGCTTGGGTTTCATTCGACGGTCGAAATCAACAAGAGTTRTGTGCGGATGATAGGTCGGTCAATAAAAAATGTAAAATAAAATTTGGTGATGGATAATATTATATGCATGATAAAATTTGATTTTCACTTTGTAAGTTATTTTATCAATGATGGGAAAGATCAGGCTATGTAACCAGACTTCAGTAATTACTAATTTAAGTACCTGTAATTATGTTAAATATAATTGTCAGGTTAATAAACACAATGTATTCATTTATTTTGCATGTTTTAATCGTTCACCCTATTACAGTTTTGTCAATATGTATGAAAATGATAACCATGTGTATCAGTTTGCATAAATAATTGCTTACCATTAATGTGCTATAAGTACTTGCTGTATATATGTAATTATRTAGTTTAACAAACATTTTATTTACAGTTTACAAGTTACTACATCTATATTTTCTTTACCATCAATATGTGCTGAAGACCAAATAACTGACTGGTTTGATTCATTGGCTGAATGTCTACATTGGAATGTGCGAAAACGACAGAAGCACTTTGAGGAATTGTCTGATCTAGCGCATTGCAAGTATGAGGATTCACTAAATTCAGCGTCGAAAGACACATTATTAGTTACGGGTAAATTATTAAACATGTTTATTACAAAATTTTTTKAAATTGATGTATCTAATTTTCTTTTTTTACTTTTTAGACTAGCAGGGTATAGTCAATTAAGTTCATCATTAACCAACAGATACCTTATCCTTTAGTCGATAAGCACCTGTACTACCATCAGTGCTTACAAATGGATTTAAAAATTGTGCAAAATAAATTTTTTTATTATTGTTATTATTATTATTATTATTATTATTTTCTTGTAAGTACCTGTAGAAGGTATACATTTATGCGTTTCTGCCGCTCGTTATTAAAACTACATATTTATCATTTAATTATAGTTTCAGTACTGAAGTTTTAGTTTTGACAAATTAATATTACGTTTCTCTATTACATTATTGGTGAAGTAGGTATATTTTAATTGATAGTGATCAGTTTATATGCAGAACAAAATGAATATTATAGTCATTAAATAAAAAAAATAAGTCTCATGTAGGAGTATTTTATTCTTGGTTATTAGAGTGCTACAATTTTATTTTTACAATGTATACAATTTCTTCCATTTTTAAGATGAAATTTTAATCGTAATTTGTTTTTTTGATATTGTTAAAAACACAAATATTTATGTTTATTATTATTTTTAGCTCAACATTTGTATAAATTACAACATTTATGATTGTTTTTTATTTATTTATTTAAAAACAAAATTATTTATTAATGACTAAGAGTATACATTAAGTAATATATTATAATAGTTTCATAAATCTTTGGAACATTTTTCTTCATCTAAAGGTATTCACACAATGTCTAATAAACATTGATTTACCCATAAGGCCATAATTCATTATTGTTTACTAGATTTCAGTTAATACAGTGATCTGAATTTTATGGTATTGGCTTCATTAGTATTGAATCTGCTTTCGAAATATCTGCAAATATCTTTCACTGGCACGGCTCTTAAATCCAAATTGTTCATTGATCTAGACTTAATGTTTGTTATATGAGTTGAAAGATCATGCAAATTGTCCACACTTTTTGAAGAGCAAGTAAGGKATTCTTCGAATATCTTGCGTTTCTGTTTAACTGGTATTAGGTCTGAGAACTCGTTGACTGGCGATCTACGCAACTGTTCGCATTCTCGAATCAAGTCTGGCAAGTGTGAAACATTCTTCTTGTACATGCGTGAACTAAATGAAGGCATATGGTTGTTATTGACTTCTTGCATGTCCAAACTAGTTTTTTTGTACTTGGATGCAGATGTCATTAATGAATCTGTTGATGAGTATCGTCGAAACGGTGCATGGTCAGTGACAATGCCGAGTATGTCGAGATACTTAACGTCGTCCAATGGTGTTTGGCTCAGGAGTTGCCCCGCAATGGTTGTCGTCCAGTGATGGAAGTCTGTTTCCGTGTCCACCTAAAAATTAAATTTTGTATCATTAAATTCAGTGATGCATAGAAAGT